GGGCAGCTTGTCAGGGAATTGGAGGGGGTGGTCTATGAGGGAATTGGGGAGGTAGTTTGTGAGGGAGCTGCTGGGAGAGGCTGTCTGTGAGGTAGTTGGGGGGGGGCTGAGGGGTTTTTACCCCTTGGATAGCTCTTTGTGAGGGAGGGCAGGCAGGGGGTGTTTTTGAGGGGTCTGGGGGCTCTTAGAGGGACTGAGGGTAATTGGGGGGCTGTTTGTGAGGAGGCACTGGGGGTATCTATGGAGACTGGGGAGTTGTGAGGCTGTTTGGGGTCTGTGGGGTGGGCGGGGGGAAGTGTAGGTGAGGCCCTGGGAACATTTGGGAGGTTTGGAGGGGCTGGAGCACAGGGGTAGAGCCTGGGGGCTGTCAGGGGGGTATCTGGGGAGCCGCTGAGAGGAGCTGTTTGTCAGGGGGACCTGAGGGCACTGAAGGCAGTTTGGGGGTGCTGGGGGTGTTTGGAGGGTGTTGGAGTGGGAGTCATGGGGATACTGGGGGGACATGGAGGGCTGTTCCTGAGGGAAGCCTGGGGGCACCTGAAGGGCTGTTTGTGAGGAAGGCTCTTAGCAAGGAAAGAGGTGTGGAGGGTTTGGGAGGGTCCTGAGAGGTTTGGGAGCATCTGGGGACACAAATGGGAGATCTGATGGTACCTTGAAAGAAGGAGGTGGGTTTGGGGGCACAGTCTAGGTGGGGAAGAATGAAATCAGGGATGAGATGGGGCAGGAACTGGAGTAATGTGGGATCTCTGGGGCAAAGCAGGTGAGTGTGGGGAGCCTGAGAGAGCTATGATGGGAGGAGAGCAGGGCTGGAGGCACCGGGAGCTGCTGGAGGGCAGAGCTGTGAGTAAGTGAGGCAGGATTGTGTGTTCCTGCCCTGGGAGCCCAGGCCACCCCGTGCCCCTGCTCTGGCACAAACAAACCCCGGTCACGGATCTCAGTTCACTCCTGGCTCACCTGTGACACATCCCTGCCACCCTTCCTTGTCCATCGTGACTAAAGGCAGGAAGTGTTTGGGAGTGGAGGGCAGCAGGAGCTGTGGGATGTGGGGAATGGGAGCGTGGGAGCAGCACTGCACCTCACTGAACACCTGTGTCCTTGCAGGAGTGCCGGATTGCTCACCCCATTGTTAAATGCACTTACTGCAGGACTGAATTCCAGCAGGAAAGGTAAATGCCTGCTGAGCTGGGCAGATCCATGTTTCCTGTGGAGCAGACACACCTGGGTGACTGTAGTGCTTCCACACCTCTGCTGACTGAGCCGTAATTGCTGCCATGGGATACCTGGGGGACCTTTGCCCGCCTTCAAAGGTCTGCTGGGCGAGTCCCAGTGTCTGCAGTGCCCTTGGGTCACACCTTTTGCTTGGGTTTTATTTCTGGTCAGCGCTCAGATGCATCTTCCAGTGAAGGCTCTGGGTGCTTCTGCCCACGAGTTTTCCTCTTACCTGATTTCTGGTACCCAGAACTTCCTTCCTGTCGTGTTTCCTTCAGCTGGGCTTTTGCCTTTTTGCATTTTGACAAGTCAGAGGGAGGACTGGTAAACCCAGAGCCAAGTGGGGTGTTCCTTCCTGTGTTTGCTTGACAAATACACTTCTGTCCTCATCTGCCTTACCCTCATCCTCCAGGATGGTGCTGAATCACTCCTGCTCCCAATTAGTCAGTGATCAAATCCTGTGTTCATAAGGACAAAAAAACCTGGTATCATCTGGGGATGCCTTAATTAAAAGACACCTCTTAGTGATGCCACTTTTTGGCAACTTTTGCTCAGCCAGATGGGGTTAGGAAGAGCACTTTGATATGTGAGTCCCAGAGATGGAGCAGAGGGGAGGCTGGGATCACACCCAGGGATCCTGGGATTCCCAACCACAGAGGTTTCATTTTCTGTCAGGAAGTGTCAGTGGAATGACCTGCCCTTTGTTTTTTTTAACAGCAAAACCAACACGATATGCAAGAAGTGTGCTCAGAACGTGAAGCTCTACGGCACAGTAAGTGATTCACGAGCCTCTCTTCCTTTCATCTCTCTTATCTTTATCCTGCTGAAATCCCAGAGCAGTTTATGGACTGGCTCTGCTGTAAGAGCATGACTGATCAATACCACAGGTCACTCAAGCGTGAAGCTTTGACTTTTTCTCTTCTTTTAGCGCCGAAAAAGAGCAGCTTTGCATCATTTAAGGCCAGGAAATGATCTGTTCGATACCCAGCAGAAACAGCAGTGTGCTTACAGACCGAGATTGCTGCAGGAAGCAGTGATAAATCTTTATTTCCTGCCTGTCTGAAGTCTGAAATAGAGATTTGGATTGGTTCTGTTTGGGTGTTAGACGTTTTTCTAAAGATTTCACAGCACTTGGGTGCCAGGGATAGATACACCCAGCTGGAGGCCAGGGGTCCAAATGGAGTTATGTCTCTTGGATCAGCGTCATAGGAGGAAAGAAAAATTAGAAATCATGGGGAGGAGGGGAAGGAGCAACGTATTAATCAGTTGTTCTTGTTTCTTGAAGCCAAAGCCCTGCCAGTACTGCAACATCATAGCAGCATTTATTGGCAACAAGTGCCAGCGTTGCACCAACTCGGAGAAGAAGTATGGCCCCCCTCACTCGTGTGAGCAGTGCAAGCAGCAGTGTGCCTTCGACAGGAAGGACGACAGGAAGAAGGTCAGTATTGCTGGAAAAGGAGGCTGGAAAGGGGAAAGGGCTCATCACAGTGATCCTCTGCCCATCTCCTTCACGGCTTCTCCAGCACTCCTGATCAGACAAGGGGGAATGGCTTCACCTTGACGGAGGGCAGGGTTAGATGGGATTTTGGGGAGGAATTGTTGGCTGTGAGGGTGGGGAGGCCCTGGCACAGATTGCCCAGAGAAGCTGTGGCTGCCCCATCCCTGGGAGTGTCCAAGGCCAGGTTGGACAGGGCTTGGAGCAACCTGGGCTAGTGGAAGGTGTCCCTGCCCACGGCAGGGGGTGGGACTGGATGACCTTTAAGGTCCCTTCCACCCCAAACCATTCTGTGGTTCCAAAAGGGGTTGTCCCTTGGTTATGGAGTGTTTCTGGGGAGTTGAGCTTTGCTGTGCTTTAGAGCTGTTTAATTTTTAAGCCCCTTCTGCTCCTCTGCCAGACCTACTGAGAAAGATCTCTTAGATTTGTCCCAAGGGGTGGCAGAGGAGCAGAGGCCTCTGAGTGAGAAGCGAGGTGCTGCTCGGGGAGAGGGATGGGGAATGATATTTGGAAGGAGCTGGGACTGTTGTACCTCCACCAGGAACCCCATCCTATGGCTTCTGCACAGCCTTGGCTTAAACACCCCAAGTGCTCTGTAGGAGGTGTGTATTCCCAATGTTTGTATTCCCAAGGCCTGCTTCCTGCAGACTGTAAACATCTCCTCATTTAGGAGGCTGCTCTGATAATCCCTGTCCTGCTGAGCCTCCTCTTGCTGGTTTGGTGTCCATCCAGGGGATCCTCTTTGAGTCCCTGCTTGTTCATATGTGATCTTAAGCCTGAAGGTGCTTTTTGCCTTTCCTCTATTTACTTTATGAGCAGGAAAAAGAAGCCCAAACTCCTTTCTCCCTCCCTTTCCAGGTGGATGGGAAGCTGCTGTGCTGGTTGTGCACGTTGTCCTACAAACGGGTCCTGCAGAAGACCAAAGAGCAGTGCAAACACCTGAGCAGCTCTTCCCGGGCCAGCCTGCAGGAGAAGGAGCAGTTCAGCAGGCTCAGCAGTGGCAGCCACTACAACAGGTAACCTTGGGGAAGGCTTTGGGCACTGTCTAAGTGCAGGAGGACCTGGCTAAGCCAGGCTTTGCTTGTTTTTAAACCCCGCTGTGCTGCAGACTTGTGCTTCCGAGTGATCTGACTTGCTGAACTTGTACACAGTGGAAGTTGCATTTGTAGAATGTAATGATTAAAATGCAGATTTTTCAGCAGGAGTTCTTCACCCACGTGCTGCTCTGCCTGACTCATTGTTTTCTGATTATTTTTAGTCTCCAGCGACTCTTCAAGCAATGAATTTTTTATCGCTCTTTCTTGCACCAGGAAATATTGTTTTAATGGGATCAAAGTGGGTGGGAATATTTATCTGCCTCTCTCTGTCTTAGACTGAAAGTCATTCAGGTTCTGACATACAATTTCCTCCTTTCTTTTCTAGCCAGAAAACCTTATCCACCTCTTCCATTCAGAACGAAATCCCAAAGAAGAAAGCCAAGTTTGACGCCATATCTGCCAATGGTGACAGGTGAGCTTGTTACATGGGGAAATTGTGGGTGGGTGGGTTTGTTTGCTGAGTTTATCTGAGACAGAGTTGTGTGTGAACAGCAGGAAGCTCTTATGCCAGAGCAGGGATCTCGGGCTTTGGGCCCTCGAGGGGCTGCACTAGAACCTGGCAGGCCAGTGTTGCCTGGCATTTAGACACAGGTTTGAAGAGGAAAAGAGTACTGAGCACCTGCAGGGTTTGTGCTCCTGCAGGGAGACCCTCGGAAGACAGGAGAGGATCCAGACCCACCTCCCATGTCCCCTCCTGCCTTTGGGGGAGGGACAAGCAACCAAACAGCTTTGCTTGAAAGGTTGTGGACTCCTCATCCCTGCAAGTGTCCAAGGCCAGGCTGGATGGGGCTTGGAGCAACCTGGGCTAGTGGAAGGTGTCCCTGCCCATGGCAGGGGGGTGGAATGAAGTGAGCTTTAAGGTCCCTTCCAACCCAAACCATTCCATGATTCTGTGAGAGCATCCAACCCCATTCTGCTGCCACGCTCAGTGCTGGGTCACGTTGTCACCAGCTGCCTGTGCAGCAGGATGGGGGGTCACTAGCAGAAACAGGAGATTAAGGTGGATTTGTGTTTTTGTGGTCTTGTACATGCATATTTTCATTCCTGCCTTTCCTCTCTGATTCTCAGCGTTCCTTCCTCTCCCGAGATGCTTTGCCCCCTTATCCAGAGGGCCCCGTCCACGTTGGCGCAGTGGGCTGCTTCCCAGCAGGCTCTCGGGGCCCACCATTGTCCTGTTGCTCAAGGCACTGACATCCTGAAGTGAGATCACCTGTTGTTTTCTCCCCTCCCTCCCTGGGAACTGCCTCACACACGGGAACTCTCCATGGATCTCTTTCTAAACAGCAGGGATTTGGGAGCATAGACCAGAGCGTAGTTAGTGCCAAAGGGTCTGGTAAAGCCCCTGGTAATTCATCACCACCTGCCTTGAATGTCTCTGAGATCACAGAGCAAATCTCTCCTATAGATGCTGTTGACACCCAGTCAGTGTTGATGTCTGAAATGCTCCCATGGGAAATGCCTCATCCCTGGAAGTGTCCAAGGCCAGGTGGGATGGGGCTTGGAGCAACCTGCACTAGTGGAAGGTGTCCCTGCCCATGGCAGGGGGGTGGAACGAGATCTTCTTTAAGTCCCTTCCAACCCAAACCATTCCATGATTCTATAAAATAGACCTCCAGTGACTTTGCAGGGCAGTGGTTCCCACAGAGTGGTCTACAAGACCATTTACCACCTGAGCAGTGTTGTAACTAAAAAGTTGAAAAAATGTAAGGATTAAATATAGCTTGGGAGCCATGGCTGAGCACAGAGTGGTCAGAATTCATCTCCCTTCAGTCCTGCTGCAGCTTTCCCTCTAGAGAGGCTGTAGGACAGCACCAAGTGTTTTTATCTCCCCATTAAATCCTGGGCTGAGATCTCATGACTCCCTGTAACAGCCCTGCTGGCTTAAAAACACTCAAACCCTGAAATGTCCTGTGCTCTGGGGTTGCTCAAGCCATTCTTTTAGAAAACAGGAGCATGGATTGGAGCAATCAAGTGCCTCCTTCCTGCTCTAGTGTCAGATATTGTCAGTCTGGCTCCTGCCAAGGCTGTGGGCCTTGCTACAGACTTTTTTTTTTTTTTTTTTGATGAATCCCAGTAACAAACTGAGTGTAAATTTAGCAACTGAAGAGCTCCAGCAACGTGCTGCAGAAAAGGCAAGAGCTGCAGCTGCCTTAAATAGACACATGTGTCTTGAGTGGAATAATAATGGGGGTTCATTGAATGGGGTTTGGGAGTTCCTGAGGTTGTTTTTTTTTTTTTTTGTGAGGATGAACCCCTAAAACCCTCCCCATTTACAGTATTTTCTGTAAGATTGTCCTCCCCAGAGTCAGCCTGGAGTTTGGGGCAGAGCCTGGGCGTGGGGTCTGCAGCAGCACAGTCAGGAGTGGGGTGGCACAACCAGCACCTCCTCACTGCTGAGAGCAGCCCCACCTTCCTGTGCAGTGTCTCCTGGCTCCAGCCAAACCTCTGGTGCAGCCTCACCTGGGCAAAATTTGGGCATGTTTGAGCTCAGTTGACTCTGGCAGCACCTCCAACAAGGTCCAGCTTATCTGAAATCGTTGCTCCTTTTTGGATACTTTTTGGATACTATAGGAATTCCTTTACCGTGTCTTACAGAATTCTCTCTGCATGTGTTTGCTTACATATTTTGGGTGGCTCTTGCTCCCAGTGGCTGTGACTGTGGGGACAGGGCGATTCCCAACAGTCCTTTAAAGGGTGGTGTTGAATGGTTTGTCCTGGGGGAGCTCTGGGAGGAGCAAATAGCTCTGGCCCTGCTGCAGGGGCGGTGGTTTTCCCTCACAGTGCTCTCAGCACATCTTGCAGCAGACTTGGCTTTACTAATCCTTACTAATCCTGCCCCTCAGTCCTGCTCTGGCTTCACCTCCAGCCTCTGGAGCTCTTCTGGTCCTCCTTTGGGCAGTTTTGATGTCCCCATCCTCTCTTGTTTTTACACTGCAGGCTCTGCAGAGGGAACAGGCTGTGGCCCCTTCTTCTCTCACTGCAAACAAGGTGCTAAATTGGGCTTTTAACACCAGGCAGCGACAGCTGGGGGAGGGCAGCGGTGCCTGAGGGTGCTCAGCAGCAAAGTTGCCTTGTAAAAGGGTCATCATTTTGCATAGAAAAGGTTCTCATTTGCATAGAAGAGTCCTGGCTTTAAAAAGATTTAAAAAGACTGTGGGACTTGGGCTGAACTGCACCAGCTTTTGGGGTGGTGGGGGGAGTGCGGGTCCAGATGCTGGTCCTTTGGCCTGGATGGAGTTTTGCATGTGAGAGATGTTTTTCTTGGAATCCCAGAATGGTTTGGGTTGGAAGGAACATTAAAGCCCATCTCATTCCCCCCCCCTGCCATGGGCAGGGACCTCTTCCACTAGCCCAGGTTGCTCCAACCTGGCCTTGGACACTTCTAGGGATGGGGAGAATTTCTTCCCAATATCCCACCTAACCCTGCCCTCTGGCACTGGGAAGCCATTCCCTGTGTCCTGTCCTTCCATCCCTTGTCCCCAGTCCCTCCAGCTCTCC